GGCAGGGTCACCAATCCTAGCAAACACACGTGCAGGTCACCCAGTGAAATTTCAACCTCAGATAAACAAGTAATGTTTTGGTGTAAATATGCGCCATGCAATTTGGGGATATACTAGTACTTACACTAAGAAAAAATGTGCTGTGTAGCCCCAGCTTATGTGGGTCAGTTGGTTGAGGGTCATCCTGTGCACCGAAAAGTCAAGGTTAGATTCCCCATCGGGGTGGGTCCGGGAGGCCAGCAATCGATGTTTCTCACATCAATGCTTCCCTCTTTCTCTCCCTCTCCTTCCCTCTCTCTCTAAAATCAATAAAACCATAATTTTGGGGGGGGGGGATTGTTTATCTGAAATTGAAGCTTTTCTGGTAACGTAGGTGGGTGCAGACCATGTGCTAGGCAGGGGAGGGCTGCCGCAGACAGCCGGGAGCAGAGCAGTGACAGAGAGAGGGACTCAGCAGAGGGCACAGGGAACCCTGGGAATCCTGCAGCGGCTGGGCAGAGGGCAGGGAAGGGCTGGAGGAAAGGAGAAAGGGGAACGGGTCCCAGCCCAACAGTCCCTGCTGCAGGAATGCAGAAGGGCCCGGTTATCTCAGCCTGACTCAACCCTGACCCCACCCTGCAGACAGGGACTAGGGGTGTGAGAGCACAGAGCAGCCGGCCCTCCGCTGGTCCCCTTGGCTCCTGTGCTGTCCTGGGTGACCTCAGGCAACTCTGGCAAAGGTCAGGCTGGGGGCCTGCTCAGTGGACCGCTCTGTGTATGGGGTTGGCGTGCTGGAGGGGAGTGCCTGGGAGGAGAGGTGGGCTCCACGAGGGTCTGGCAGTTTCCTGTTGGCGTAGGAGTACGGCCACCCCATCAGGTGCCTGCTGCTCACCACAGAGGTGACCAGTGTATCCCTCCTGGGAATGCCAACCCCACCCACAGTTGCCGGCCATCCCTGGATGGGGCCAGTCTCCCCCATCTGCAGGTCCTACCCATCCTTCAGAGCTCTCTCCAATAAACAGAATCATAATGATAATTAAATCATTGAACACATCCCCTTGGCCAGGCTTCTTCTTTAAAAAAAAAAAAAATATATATATATATATATATATATAGTTGATTTTTTTACAGAGAGCAAGGGAGAGGGATAGAGAGCTAGAAACATCCGTGAGAGAGAAACATCGACCAGCTCCCTCCTGCACATCCCCTACCGAGGATGTGCCCGCCACCAAATCGAACCCTTGACCGGAATCGAACCCAGGACCTTTCAGTCCTCAGGCCGAGGCTCTATCCACTGAGCCAATCCAGTTTCGGCTGGCCAGGCTTCTTGTTTCATCTTTACAGCAACGTTATGAGGTAAACGCCCTCCTCGTCCCCACTTTACAGATGAGAAAACAGAGGCTCGGGTGAGTTAAATGACCAAAGCGCCTCCCCAGCTAGTCAGCAGTGGGCGAGGACGCAAACCCAGGCCTGTGTGGCTCGGGGGCCCATGCTCCGGGCGTCTCTGTGCCATTCTCCCAGCCTGGATTTCCAAGGCCTGGCACCGCCATGCCCCGTGCGTGCCCTTTGGTCAGGAATCTCGGAGGAAGGGCCCAGGTTGGGATTTCTCCCCCCTGAATCCTCAGTCCCTGGGACAGAGGAAATAACAGTGTTTGTTGAAAGACTAAATCTTGTTCCAAAATGTACTCAGCTCCCTTCCCTGTCCCCCGTCCCTCTTCCTGCCCGCCCAGGCCTTGCGGAGGCCAACACTTGGGATGTGGAGAGCCTCGTGCGTGTCCGCTCTTAGCTGGGGCCAGGCCTCTGAGGAAGGAACTGGCCTGTAGCTCCGTCTGTCCTGCAGCTCCCCTCCAAAGGAAGCCCCTCCCCGGGCAGGCGCCTGGGCCCCGGGACAAGCCCTTGGTCTCTCGAGGAGATAATGCCTTTGTCCCTTCTCAGATAAACAAACAGAGCCGGCTTGAAGTGTGTCCTGCAAGGTGCACGAGCTAGTGGCACCCCACCCAGGGAGACAGGCTGGCCTTCCTCCCAAGGTCACAGCCAGGCCCAGTGGATGCCGAGGCCATGCTGAGCCTGTTTTGCAGGGAAGCCAGGCCTCCGTGTTCCGGGTGGGACCCGGCACTGCAGAGCGCGCCTTGCCCCTGGGCCCTCTCCGTGAACAAGGCCCACCCATAGCCCACCCATAAGCACCAGGCCTCAGGGTCACACCACACAGGGTGCCAGTCACCGCGTGGTCTGGGGAGAGGCACCCCTGGAGCTTTCGTGGCTGCTGCTTTTACAGGTGCCCGCACCACCCCGCCACCCCTGACCCTGAGCCCCCGTGCACCCTCATACGCTGATCCTCCCGGCACCCCTGCCTCCCGCCCCTGCATGGTCAGATCTGAGCCACAGGAAGCAGGGCCAGCAAGTGTGCAAACCGAGAGCCAAGATGGGGGAAGTTTATTTTCCAAGAATCATCTAAACACACAGGGAGTATGTTCAGGCCCTGGCTCCCACCCGGATGCCACATCTAAACAGGGGGTCAGAGGTCTGCCCGCCGGGGACAGAGCAGCCAGTGGAGGCAGGCTGGGACACGGCACCACAGACCCCCCGCCCCCCACCCCTGGCCCGGAGGCCCATATCCCTGCCAGAGCAGAGGGCTGGCACGGGAGCCACGCGGGGCCTCTCTGTGAACGAGGGGCGGCTGCTGGCCCCCTATTGTCTCTGAGCGACGGTCAGGAGCCAGAGGGGTCGGCTGAGGGTGGCGGGCAGCACTGGGGGAGCCATTTAGCCAGAAGAGGAGGCTCTCAGGACCACACGCTGCGAGAGGGACTGCCGTCAGCCTCCGCTCCAGGGCGCGGAGCCGATTGCAGGGGGCGGCTGCCCACCCCCGGGGGACTGGCCAGGAGTGACCTTGCTTTGAGTGGTGTGCTGACGGCATCGGCCCCCGCCTCCAGGTGCAGGGAGGGCAGATGGAATGCTGGGAGGAGGCCTGAACCCTGGGCCCCGGACAAGCTGTGCCCATTCTGGCCCCCACTGGCCAGGTTTATTATTGTTTATGATTGTGGGGTCAGGGGGAGCGGGGAGGGCGGTGTGCCTTCTGCCCGGGGTTGGAGAGGCCAAGGCTCCCCAGTCTCTTGCAAAGAGCTGGGACTTCCTGGTGCTGCTACCAGGTTGTTCCCTGAACGTTGCCTTGAGGGCAGGGTCCGGGCTGGGAGGTGGGGGTAGAACGGGGTGGGGGGCAGGGGGAGTAGGTGGGAGGGCTTCTAAGAACCCTGAGCTGGGGGTGGGGGTGTGTGTGTGCAACTTAGATCTTAGATCCCTTGCAGGCTGCTGTGGGAACCGAAGGGAACAGGTTCAGTGTCCGCATACCCCCCGCTGACACAGGCTGCCTGCTGTTGCCATGGTGATGCAATCTCCTCCCCGCCTGCCACCCACGGCCGTGTGGTCACCAGGGAAAGGAGGTGGGTGCTTATTCTTGGTCACGAAGAGGAACAGGGAGCGGGAGCAGCCCTTTCTCCCGCTTCCCAGGCTTGGCTGGGGGTGGTCAGGGACTCTGAGGGTATCGGGGTCAGAGAGGGCTTGGAGGTCACCTCCTCCCACCTGCTCCCTCCCGCGACCCAGCAGGCCAGCGCTCGCTTCTCAGCTCCTCACGCTGGGGAATGGGATCCCCGTGTGCTGCGGGCTCATGCAGCTCCCTGGGGAGCCCACCTCCTCCAGACTGAGAGCCTGTAGAGAGGTGGTCCCCACAGCGCCCCGGCCCTGAGGGGCGCCCCTTCACCGCACGCCTGTTCTTGTCCCCTTTTCCTGGGTCTCAAGGGGCAGGCTCCTCCCTAACCCAGCCCTGCCTGGTGCCCTCAAACCTCCTGGGCTGGCCTGGGACGCCCCAGTGGGCCTTGTTTCCTTCTTCCTTGGCTTTCCGGCCGCGCCCCCTCCCTTCCCCCTTCCCGCTCCCCCAACACACACACCTACCTGCCCCTCCTAGTCTCCCTGCCTCCTCGGGTCCCAGAGAGAAACATCACCAAAGACACACTGAGGGGCCGGAGAGTGGTGGTAGGGGCTTCACTGACAGCTCCCTGGTGCCAGGCCAGGGACCCTTGGATTCACCTGTGACTCCCTTTCCTCCCGTTTTTTTCTGACCCATCAGCTCCTGGGCTACTACAGCGCCCCCACCTGCCCCCAGCCTCACCCTGCACCCCAACTCCACCAAGCAAAGACCCTCCCAGTCCCTCACGCCCAAAACCAGCATCCCTGAAATATCCTACTTCAAGGGCCCTTACTTTGAGCGCCCCCCCCCCATCTCTTTGTCTCTTTTCTTCCTCCTCCTCCTCCTCCTCCTCCCCCCCCCCCCCCCCCCCCCCGCTCCATATGGCCTCCTCCCTGGCCTCCGGCAAGCCCTCCGGATGTCCCTCCCCACGAGGCCCTCCCGCCCACCTTCCTGGCCGGCTCTCTCCACAGCACACATGGCCTCTGAGACTGTGAACAACGTGTCTGTTTTATTGGTGGGAACTCCAGGAGGGCAGGCATAGACACTCAAGAAGTATTTCAGAAAATAAATGAGCTCTTGGGGGGAAAAAATGAGGAACATTTGTAATAATATGAACAATAAAGATTTATTTAAAAAAAAAAAGAAGAAGAAGAAGAAGAAGAAGAGAAGATAAATGAGCTCCTGGCGCCCACCTCGCCCAGGCTGCAGCCACACACAGCCCGCGCTCTCGGCCCTGGCACAGAGGAGAGGGCGCAGGCGGGGGCTTCCCTGGGCTCCAGGGTGCCCTCGCACCTCTCCACCCCCAGGGCCCTGCTCCGAGGACATCCCCAGGCCTCACGGCCCCTCCCTCCCCGGGTACAGGGGGTAACTGAGGGGAACCGGGCAGGGGTAGTTGTGGGAACTCAAAACAGACCGGAGAAAGGTTTCTCTAAAAATATATCTGTATTTCTTCCAAACGTCATCCAGGTCCAACCTGGGGAGCAGAGGAAGGGGGCCCACGCCCTCGGAGGGCAGAGGGCAGAGGGCAGAGGGCGGAGGTCAAGTGTCCAGAGGTGAGCCATCATCGGAGGAAGCCAGCCACCAGGCAGGTGAGCGTGGGGGCCAGCAGAGCGGGCAGCGGCAGGGGCAGCAGCTGGCCGGGGGCCTGGGACCTGAACACGGGGCGCTGCCCCCGGCGCTGCAGGGGCCTGACGTTGTCCGTCATCTTCTGTTTCTGCTCGTTGTCGTAGTACAGCTTCTCGGAGAACGCAAGGATCTGCCAGGGACAGGGACAGGGGAGCTGGGTTCCCCAGGCAGCTCCTGGGGCCTCTCTGAGCCCTCCCTCTCCGTTCCCACATGGATGACAAGCACGAGGTGTAAGGCGCTGGGCACTGCTGGCCTCCGCTCCCGTTAGCTTCCCTCAGCCCCGTGGGCAGCGTGGAGGGCCCAGGATTACAACTGTTGTTGCTGTTACCACAGAGCAGTGGTCCCGGGACTTGCATGCATGCCACCTGGGGGCTTGCCGGGCCCCAGACTGCCAGGCCGCACCCCGGACTTTCTGACTCCGTCAGGAGCGAGGCCTGAGAACTTGCATGCCCAGCGAGTTCCCAGGTGATGTAGCTGCCTCGGGCCAGGGACCGCTCTGTGAGAACCTCTCACTGTCCGGGAACAGAATGCCAGGAGGGCGGGGACGGACTCTCGGCTGCATCCCCGCAGGCCAGTGTGCCACAGGGACCGAGGGCCGTTTGTGGAAGGAATGACCTGTTTTCCTCGCTGTGGCTATGCCAGCCCGCTCTCAGCTGCTCTTGGCCGGCCCCCAAGACCCGAGTCTCCTGCCCTCAGCTGGCCGACTCCCACCTCCTTTCCAGCCTGGAAGTCTTTTTCTGACACCCCGACCGGCCTGCCACAGCCCCTGCCCTCCAGCCCTGAACCCAGAGCCAGGACGGCTGGGACCTTCCTCCGGGGACCTCTGGGGGGATCGAGGGCAGTGGTTCTGGGGAGCGGGGCAGTGGAAGCTGCACCCTCAGCCGGGCCCTGTGTACCTGGTCCCTGTGGAGCTGAATGGGCTCCGCAAACACAGTCCAGACGACCTTCTCGTCGCAGCCCGGCGTGGTGAGCGAGCCCAGGTAGCGGAAGTAGTGCCTCAGTTTCTCCTGCTCGGGGAGCAGGTCAAACAGGCTGACGCTCTTCTTCATTGTGGTGCTCATCACTGCGGGGGGCGGGGGCGGAGAAGAGCACACTGTCTGTGAGGGCCGCTGATCCCCCTCACCCCTCACCACCTCCCTCCGAGAGCCTGGCCCCCCTTTGGAGGAACCAGTCTCCCCCTCCCATCACTCCCAGGCCCCCTCCTGGACCTCCTGACTCACTGGGTCTGGGGACAGCAGACAGGGCCTCCACCAGCGGCTGGAAGTTCTCGTTCTTGGATCCAGCCTGGAACAGGGGGAGGGGGAAGCTAGAGAGGGGCTTGTGGGGAGCTGGTGGTGACCCCAATGTGTTGTCCTGGTCTGGGGTCCGGAGGGCAGGCAGCTTCTGAACCTGAGACTCTGAGAGGCTCTGAGCTCCCCGCACTGCCCCCCCGGAGGGTGTACAAGTCACTGAGAAACAGGGGCCTCCCCAGGCCCCTCCTGTCTTGCTCGAATCCCCGGTCTCTGATCCTAAGAAGCAGCCCCTCAGACCCTGGGGGGCGGGGCCCACCTCCACCAGGAAGGCCAGCACTGCAATCTCGTCTTTGGTGTCCTGGGCCTCTTTCTTCTCTTTCTCATGTACAATGTGCATCTGGCGGGCGGAGAGAGAGAAGGAGAGAGAAATGGGGGGCGGGGGCTGGACCCCCTTCCCCTCTGAGGCAGGTTCCTCAGAGCCCAGCGAGGCCCCACCCCAGGAGGGCCACTCACCTCCATGGCGAAGCGTTCCCCGTCCAGGCTGTGCTCGGAGCCGGCATCCGGCTCCCGGGACCAGTGCAGGTGCAGCTGCTTGGCCCGGTACGGGGAGGCCAGGCCGCCTCCAGCAATCGAGATCCCGCTCTCCAGAGACACCATCACTGAGGGCACAGGAGGGCGGTCCTGTACCCACCGCCAGCTCCTTCCAACCACCCTTCCCAGCTCCGCCCAAGCAAGACCTCAACTCCGGGTCCCACCCTCTGTGGGCTTCAGGCCTGGCCCAGAGGGAGGGGACAGGATGGGCGTCCCAGCCCTAGACCGTTCCCTGGCCCCCCCCACCTGCCTCTCCCTCTGCACACCTCCCACTGCCCCAAACAGGAAACTCTGTGGGTCCCTCCCCGGCTCCAACGCCCCCCCTCCATGGTGCCCTGGCGTCCTCAGGGGAATGGCCACCTCCTCAGCCCTCAGGGACTTGCCGGCCCCTCCCAGCCTCTCTCTCTGTGAACCACACGCGGTTCCCAGGCTGTTCCACATCCTCACCTCTGCACACGGCGTTCCTCGGTTCCTACACCCCCCACTCCCACCCCCACGCCTGTCCCAGCCGGACTGATCTGATGACGTTTCCAAAGCCGGTCCTGCCTCTCCCTACCCCGAGCTCCCAGCTTCTCCTCAGCAAAGTGGAGCTGGGCCTGTGCACCCCTCCTGTCCTCAGGGAACTCAGGGCCCCTGGCCCGGTGCCCGTCCTGCCCCCCTGGGACCCACCTGAGTGCCCGTTGTTTTGGACGCTCCACTTCTCCTTCTTGTCGTAGCCGGAGAAGGAGAAGGGGCCCAGGCTGTCGTTCACCTGCGCCCGGGGGGTGGCGATGTTGATGGGGGACTGGCGGTCCTGCTGGCACTGTCCGCCCCAGCGGTCCGGCCCTGACAGAGAGAAGGCGGGCGCGGTCGGGGTGCCTGGCCCCCCGGCTGTGGCCTCCTCTGCCCCTTGGAGGTCAGGCCCAACCCAAGCACCCAGCTCACGTGTGGCAAGGCCCTGGGCCTGGCAGGGATGTGGGACAGGGTGGGACAGGTGGGGCAGGAGGTGGCTGTGAGCTCTGGGGAGGGGACAGCTGGGCTGAGCGGGGAGAAATGTGGTGATAACTGTGTGATGAAATTCAAAGGGGAAGGAGAGGGCTCTGAGCAGGTGTGGAGGGGCCCCTGGAAGGGCTGGAGGCGGGGTGTGACCCAGGGAGGAGCCTGGTTCCCTAACCCTGGAGACCTCGCAGCCTGTCACCCCCTGCATCTCCCTTCTAGGGACTTCATTTTCAGCTTCGGTGCATCACATAACCCATTTGACCAACGCACTCAGCTAAAAATATGATTGGCCTGTGGCAGCAGAGGCAGGACCAAGGCTGCGCTGGAAAGCCGTCAGCGTTTGAGTAGGAAGTGCGGGTCTCCACTTGTTCCTCGAAAGAGCCAAACCCTCTGGATGGGAGCGATGAGGGTGCCAGGAAAGGGCCCCGGGCTCAGGCGTGTGTACCCACAGGCAGGCGTGTGTGCCTGTGCTCAGAGCTGGTAGGTGGCTGGCAGGCACCATTCTCCTTTGTCCTTCCCACCATCCTGCGTCTCCAAGGCCACCTGGAGCCTCCAGGCCACAGACTTACCCAGGCAGTCCGTGGAGTCCTTCGCTTGAACCGCGTAGCACCAGTGTGACTCTGGGCAGAGAGAGGCAGGAGGTGAGGCCTGCGCACGCATGTCCGTCCGTGTACCGGTGCACACGTACGCCTCAAGGGGCGCCCATGAACTGTGTGTGTGTGTGTGTGTGTGTGTGTGTGTGTGTATACACGTGTGTGTGTGTATGTGCCAGAGGCTGCTAATCTCCCTGGAGTCAGGGCCCCCCTCGGGTTGGGGTGAGGACACTTAAGAAGAAGCTGTGGGTGGGGATGGGGCAAGAACTGTGACTCATCTGCCGTCATCCTTCCCCAGGACTCGGGTTCTGGGTTCTCCTTCCCGGGCAGCCGGGCTCCGAGGCCCTCAGGGCTCTGGCCTGCACACTCTCCCATGGCTGCTCACCAACCTCCCGCCCGCTCCTCCAGCCCAAACCTGGGCGGGAGGGGAGAGGGGAGGAGAGGGATTAGGACGGCACAGCCAGGTGCTGGCTGCCTTCCCAGAGGTGGCCAGGGGGGTGATGCCTCCAGGAGATTAGGCTGGCCCCTCCCTCTGGTGAATAAGACCCATTCTTGGCTAAACTTTCACAGCCCCACAGCAAGGAAGACAGCCAAGCCTTTGCCCCTGACCCACCACCCCACACTCGTGAGTTTGGGGGCCAGGCAGACTCAGGTCCTCACCCCGGCTCTGCCTCAGGCTGGCGGAACCAGCATCTCTGCAAAAAGGCTGCACCACAAACATGCCACACACATGCATGGCCACGGGGGAGACTGTGCAGGGGCAGAGGGAGCACACGGGAGCCCTCTGCTTTCTGCTCAGCTTTTCTGTAACCCTGAACCTGCTCTAATTAAAGTCTATCCATATATATATATATTTTTTTAATTTTATTTATTTATTTTTTAATTTTATTTATTTATTTATTTTTGGACCAGCAGGGTAGACAAAGCATTTGATCCGGAGCTGGAGCTGGAATTCTGGCTGAGGAGCTGTGGGTTTAGGAGCAAGTCACTTACTCCCTCTGAGCCTCAGTTTTATCATCTGTAACGTGGGACAACCCCGCCCACCTCGCTGGGCTGTGGGGAGGACTCAGTGAGGTGGCGGGAGTGTTGAGGGTAGCCTGGAACTCAGTCACGTCCCTGCTGAGCCCTTCCCTTCCTCCCTCCCTCCCTCCGGCCTCATGTACGTGCACAGATGGCAAAAGCCAAGCTGGAAAGAATTCAGGGATGAGGAAATTCCTAAGAAAAGCACGGCTTCCCACTCAGCCTGAGCTCAGACCTCTGAGCATATCCTCCCTCTCCTCCCCCCCCCCCCCCCCCCCGCACCTTCTTGCCTGGGCTGCCCGCCCCCATCCACACCCATCTTCTCTGGGGTCCCTGGGATGGGGTCAGGGTGGGGAGGGAGTCATGAGGAGGGGAGGGAGCCATGGCGGGAGGGAGGGGGCTATGAGGAGGGCAGGATCTCGCCAGGGAGGGGGAGGAAGAGTTGGAGCCAGGAGTGAGCACACAGAAAGCTGGACGCCCTCTTGCTCTGGGACCCTCAGAGCCACCTTGGGCGATCAAGGCCCCCAGCTCTGGACCAGATGCTTCCCCTGCCCTGCTGGGACGGCCTCTTTCCCAGACGGACAGACAGCCCCTGAGTGTCTTCCCCTGGCAGCCCGTTCCCCTGGACAGGGCTCTGCTGCCCTGGGAGTTGCTGCATCTGGAAACCCCCCTCCCCAGGGTCCACTCTGCACAGGAGAGCAGCCACTTCCCCTGCAGGCCCCTCTGCGGGCCCCTCTGCGGGCGGCAGGAACTCTGAGGCCGGAGCAGCCCCCTGGCTGCCCCTGCCCCTGCCTCTGGCTTAATCTCTCTCAGCGGCAGGAGTGCGTGTCCCAGGAGGCGATGAGTGGGAGGTCACCTGGGTGGCCGAGAGCTCCTGGTTACAGTCCTCCCGCGACTTCCCCTCTCAGAGGTCCCCGAGGTAGACGGGGCCTCCAAGGTCAAGTGGGACAGGGCAGGAAAGCCACTCCAAGGAAAGCCTTACTTAAGCCAGAGCCCCGGGAGCCGTGCTGGAGGGTGGAGGGTGGAGGGTGGGACCCCCCCTTTCCCCCCGGGCGGGGGTGCTTTTGGTTCAGGCTAAGCTTTTCTTAGGAATTTGCTCCTTCCTGCCAGCTCGGGCTCCTGTGTTTGTGATGGTAACCTCTGATCCACTGTCTTAATCATAGAAACTTTTGACCTGCTTGGATGAATGCTCTTGTAACTACCCTCTTCAGGAGGCAGGAGGCAGGAAAACACCATGTTGATGGGGCCAAGGCCAGGGGTCAGGTCTGCCTGTGGCCGAGGGTAGACAGCTGGCTTTTAGGCAGGAGGTGGCAGGTCACCCACAGCAGCTCAGGCTCCTGTGTTCGCTCACCAGAAGGCTGCGCTGGCTGAGGGTCCCCGCCCTGTCTCAGCCCCCCTCCAAGAGGGGCCCGGGGAGCAGCGCAGCTGCCCACACCTCGGTCTTGGCTCCACGCTCCAGGTTCCACTAGCCTACCAGCCCTAACCAGAAACAGAGCGAGAGACCGAACCGCCATCTCAATCTCCCAGCCAACGTCCCCACCCTTGACCTTCCCACCCCCGGCCCCCCTTCTTTCGGGATGACTGAGGAATCTCCCTCTGCTGGACCTTGGTCACCCCACCCTCCCACTCTGGGGGGGAGGAAGGGATCCTGAAAACCAGCTCAGCGGAAACCCGAATATGTCCTGGGGCAAAGTCTCAGCAAGCCCTGGCCCTGGCCCGGAGGCTGGGGCTGCAGGGCCCCCCTATGCTCTCCCCTCCTCATGGCAGCAGGTGCTCTGGGGCCTTCAGTGGGCAGCCAGCCCTTCCCCAGCCTCACGGTCCCCAGGGGATGAAATGGCCACAGGAGCACAGGCTGAGTGAGGGGGCAGTGGAGATCAGGCCCCGGTTGGCTGGCGCGGGGCAGCGGTAGAGCCATCATAGCCATCCTGCACCACCCTAAGCACCACACCCACCCACGGGGACCCTGAACACCACCCGTGAAGTTAACCACTCTCCAGCTTTGCCAGTGAGAAAGCGGTGAGTGACTTACCCAAGGCCACACGGCCACAAAACATCCGAATTAATTGCAAAACCTTGCTCTCTCTCTAACCGAGCCCATCTGCTTAGGCAGGTTTCAAAGGTCCGGCTCTATAAATAGCCATGTTCCCGCCCTGCGGTGGAAGGAAGGGAGGAACACAGTCCTCTGGCTCCCGGGGTCTCCTGGCAGCCTGATCACGGAGCAGACAGGAGGCAGATTCAGAGCGAGCATGACCACGCTGAATGTCTTCCATACGTGTGGGAGCCCCACATGCCTGAGCGGTTCCCAGAAAGGGAAAATGAAGTCCATATGGCATTCTGGGCTAGGGGTGAGGTGAGGCGCCTTGGGGCTTCCCCCAAAACAATAGCAGATGTGCGGTCATGAGAAGCCCGCCCTGCCTTATAGATAAGTCGTCAAGAGCCAATTCCGGTAATAGCTCAGGATCGGCAAAGGTCCCCATGTAATCTTCCAGGGAGACGTGTAAAAGGTTTTCGATTGCCTTCAGCTCAATAATCCACAGGCCCCAGAGGCGCATCGTGGGGAGTCCAGCTCGGAACCCCTTCCCTGCCTTTCCCCCTCCCCCCACTCTTTCCTCCCCTCCTGAGAGTGGCTGCAAGATGCCCCGCATCCCAGCCCTCCTCCCCCAGCGGCCAAGTCTGTCCCGCACCCGCACCCCCTCTCCCTGCAGCCGAGGTTCCCTCGCCCCCACGCCATGCTCCAAGGGGGGCGGGGGCATCTGGCTTTGGAAAGATGTTTGGTCTCTGGAGCAGAGGTTTGATGGGATGGGCGACAAGAACACGGTTTAGGGGTACTGAGCTGGGAACTGGCAGGTGGGGCTTCAGGAAGGAGGTGCCCCCCGGGGAGGTGATGGAAACCGTGCCTCCCGGGGCCCCGCGCGCAGCCGCTGGAAGCGCCTTCAGTTCCTTATCAAATATTAACACATTTCTCCTGCCACCTCCCACCTAGGAGAATAATTAAGAGCTTGGCCTCACCATTAATCTTTAAACGAAAATCACCCTGGCCGGACAGACCGGCTCTACCGGGGGCCTCGGGTCTCCGGATGTCCCCGGCCAGGCTCCCCACGCGGCCCCGGGGACCAGGAGCGCAGGGGAGGGAGCGGGGCGGGAGGCCCAGGACCCGCCACACCGAATGTGCTGCCGGAGCTCCGGGCGGAGAGGAAGGGTCAGCCCCCCCAGCCCCCAACCCCCAGCCCCCAGCCCCGCGGGGCGCACAGCCACAAATTGGGGGGGGGGGGGGGACCAGGAACCGCCAGAGAAAGGGCGGGAGGCCAGGCGCGCGCCAGGCGGCGGGAGCGCATCCTTCCCCGAGCTCAACCGCTCCCCGAGCCCCGGGGTCGCCCGCGCACACCGGGCACAGCGGACACACCGGGCACAGCGGACACACCGGGCACACCGCGGACACACCGCGCACACCGGGCACAGCGGACACACCGGGCACAGCGGACACACCGGGCACACCGGGCACACCGCGGACACACCGCGCACACCGGGCACAGCGGACACACTGGGCACAGCGGACACACCGCGCACAGCGGACACACCGCGCACACCGGGCACACCGGGCACACCGGGCACACCGCGGACACATCGCGCACACCGCGGACACACCGGGCACAGCGGACACACCGCGCACAGCGGACACACCGCCCACACCGGGCACACCGGGCACCGCGGGCACACCGCGCACACCGCGCACACCGCGCACACCGGGCACACGCTCCCCGCACGGCGCGTGGCCGGGGTGTGCGCCCACGAGCCCGCTCGCGCCCGCCGCCCGCAGCCCCGCTCCCCGCGCACGCGCCGCCGGACGGACGCGCAGCCGGCGCAGCGGAGCCGCGGGCGCAGCCGGGGCGGGGGCGCGGGCCCCCCGAGGGGCAGGGCCGGGCCCGGCGTTCACCTGCGCGGGCCGGGGCCCGGGAGGCGGCGAGGGCCAGGAGCGCCAGCAGCAGCCGCATCCTGCGCGCAGCACAGACGCCGCCGCCGAGCCGGGGGTCGCGCCGAGGAGGCCGCCGTGGGTGCCGCGGCCATGAGGCCCGGGCTTTATAGCGGAGCCGCGGCGGGAGGGGGCCCGGTCCACGGGGCGCGGGTAGCGGCTCCTCCTCCTGGCGGGGCCTCCCTCCCCTTGTCCTGAGCCGCCACCCCCACCCCCACCCCCACCCTCACCCCCCCACCCTCACCCTTACCCCCACCCTCACCCTCACCCCACTCTGCTCTAGGAAAGAGGCCGGCCGACCCCAACTCCTCTCCTCTCAGAGGCGCCCCCCCTGCCCCCGCCCCCCGTTGGGAACCGGGAGCAGCATCGCGAGGTGCTTGAGCTGCACAAGGTGCCCGGAGTCCGAACCTGGACCAATTTGGCGGGGCCCTGAGCCGCGCTCTGGCCTCTGGAGAAGCCCGCGGGGGCCGTGGGGGCCTCGAGGGGCCTGGAGGGTCTCGGGGTACATAGGGGGCCTCGGGGGGCCCAGGGTTGGGGCGGGCGGTGGAGGTTGCTGGGCGGGAAGACGGCGTTGAGGGATGCGCGTCTCTCGCCGGCGGCGGCCGCTGACTCTCGGTCCCTTTTCGTTTTCTCTCTCCCCCCAGGCTGCTCCCTGAGAACTTCACTTCCAAGCAGACCAAAGACCCCTCTTTCAACACAGAGTGAAGACGCCCCTGAATCACCGTGAGTGGCCGTGCGACGCTCAGAGCGGGAGGGTGGGGGGCGCAGAATGGAGAAGCGAATGGCCCAGGGGCCCCGTGAGCGCGACCCCTGCGGGGTCCGGGAGAGGCCCGGTCCCGGGCGGCCAGCCTCCACCCTGAGACGGTGCGATGGAGAGAAAAGAGAGGGGTCCGAGGGAAGGGGCCCCTCGTTCTCGCATGTGCCAGCATCTTCCGACGAGTTTGGGGAACGAAAGGTTCCGTTAAGGCGGCCCAGCATTGGGGGCGACAGGCCGGCGTGGGGGCCTGGAGGGGCAGCTGCCTCTGGTCCGGGGCGGGTGCTGAGCTGTGTGTCCCTCTGGGCGGTGCTCTCCTCTCCCTTTCTCTGCGCCTGGGTGCGGGCTTCCGTGGCGGTTTGGGGATCTCAGACTCAGATGAGGAAGAGGGATGGGGAGCCAGGCAGTGGAGGAGGGGGGGGGGAGCATCCCTCAACAGGAAGCCCCCGTTTTCTGATCTAAGCCCTTCCCCTCCTGTTGCCAACTGCTCAGTCCTCACCAGCCTTTGAACCTAGGCTGGGGACCGCTGAGAAGGGATCCCCCCACCCCAAGAATTACCTGGGTAAAAGGCTTCCTCCTTGGATAGAGCTCCCCACCCGCCTACCCCCTCCTGGCCCAGGATCACTCAGCCTCAGGAGCAGCTTTGATCTCACAGGGGCCGTCATCGGGCTCAGGGCCTATGGTCCTCACAGCTTTAGACCTGAGTCACCAGCCTGGGCCGGTGACCATGGGGAGGGGTTCTCCAGGGCCTTCTCTGGGGAAGTGGATCTTTGTTCTCGGGGCTATAAATCTCTCAGGACGGGGCGGGCGAGGGGCGGGGCCGGAGAAGCCTGTTCCTGGGAATGAGGTCTACCTCTCCGTGACCCCAGGCCAGCCCCACCTGGCAGGAGGAAGACTGGGAAACATTTGTGGGGTTGAGGGGCTATGGATCAGCGACTCTTGGATTCACTTCAAAATCCATTGCGTTGGGGGCCCCCAGGGGAGAGGAGGGTGGGAGGGGGAGCTGCTCCCTAGGTAATTGTGCTCTTATCAGGTCAGTGCTCCCCCTGTTGTTGTGTTTTGGGGCCAGCAAGATGGGGAAGGAGAGCGGGGCTGGTGTGGCTCGGTTGGTTGAGTGTCATCCTGTGCACCAGAAGGTTGCAGGTTTGATCCCTGGTTGGGGAATGTACTGAAGGCAGCTGATCCATGTTTATCTCATTCTCTCCCTCTTCTTCTCCCTTTCCCTCTCCCTCTCCCTCTCTCTCTCCATCTCTCTTCCCTTCCTCCTTTTCTCCTTCCCTCCCTCCTCCCCTCTTTCTCTAAGCATAAAAAAAGAAAAAGCTTGGGCTGGGGAGGAGGTAACGGATGGGCACCACTACCCGGACTGGGTAGCTCCGATGACAGAGCATCGTCCTGATACACCAAGGCTGTGGGTTTCATCCCAGCTCTTCCTCCGACGCAGGGGTCACCTAGGACAACTTCCCTACTCCTCTCTTTTTGCAACTTCCTCATCTCTAAGGTGGGGATGGTAATCTCTGCCCTCTGACCTCCGTCAATAAACAGTTATTGGGCTTGCTGTGAGCCTGCCCCTGCCCATCCCAGACTTTCACAACCCGCCTGGGTGTCACACTGGCCTGACCCCACCACAGACGCAGCGTTGAATCATAGTTCCCACCCTCTGGGGATGTGCGCATACACGGCCCTTCCAGGAACAGGAGGGAGGCACCGGGGAAGCCAGAGGGCTTGGATGTCAGACAACTCTGGGGTTACGTCTGGTCCCCTCCACTTGCTCTGTGATGTCAGCAGGGCCTCCGTGCCCATCATCTGTAAAATGAAAACCATACCTCTCACAGGTGAGAATTCAGTGAGCTGAAGCCAGGTGGGACGCATTAGTACACGTGACCATGACCTCTAAAGGGGTGGTCCCTCTACCTGGATTAAACCTGACCCCAGGCAGGTGTGGATGTAGCATCAGGTGGCCAGGGACAGGAGGCCGAGCCCAGGAGAGGGGTCGTGGCATCAGGGTTCTTCCTAGATTCCAAGACTTAGGGTGGGGAGAGCAAGGCTAAAGGGCAAAGGGAAGCCCCAGCCACTACTGCGTGGGCCCTGAAAATGCCAGATTCGGATTCAGCCCCTCCTGGGACTCCGATGGCAGAGTGGGGCCGAGGCACCTCTCTCAACACTGCCCGCATGGTGTCCACGGGTCAGAGGCCTGTGTGCGAGGGGCGACGTGGGCAGACAGAGCTTCCCATGGGCTTTGGCATGACAGCGCCCTGGTTCACATCCCAACCTGGGCACTTACCCTTCACCTCCCTCAGGTCAGCGTCCTGATCAGCCAAGGGAGAACCCAGAGGACACCTCCCTCCCGTGAGTGTGGTTAGGGTTTAACTGGATGATGCTGGGTAAAGGGTCTGGTAGAGGGCCGGGCACCTGGAAAGTGCTCAGTACACCTCCGCTGTCATCACGAGCTGTTGAGGGCCACTGTGGCCTGTGCCCGTGATATTACAGGAGCCCCGGGCAGTGGCCCCTCACCCAGCCCGGAGGTGGGGGATCGAAGAAAGCTTCCTGGAGGAGGCGAGCTGAGTATTAGATGACTGGTAGTTCTTAATCCCCGAAGGGAAGGGAAATCCAGGCAGAGGAATCAATGAGAAAGGGCTCGGAGGTGGGCTGGATGGGTAGGAGCATCAAGTGAGGGGAGAGTGCGGAGAGGAAACTGGAGGGGTATTTGGCACCAGACGGATAGGATTTGTTCGTTGGGATTAGAAGGTTGGACTGATCTTGAGGGGTAGATAACAAGATCCTGATTTTCTAGGCCAGGAAACAGCCGCAGCCACTCGGCCCTAGGAAGGGACAGGGGTCCTTGAGTTACAGAGAGGAAGCTGAGGCTCAGAGAGGGCAGTGACAGCGCCCAGGTTACCCAGTAAGGAGAGAGCCGAGCTGGGGTTTGAACCCTGGTCTCCCTCACCCTGATGTTCTTTCCATGCCATCTCACTCCCCACAACACACACACCTGCCTCCCAGGGGGACCCCCAGCCGCCAGCTCCCGTGGCTTTCTGCAGTCTCCTCTTGTTAGGAGATAAGCAGGTTTGCAGAGGCGGCTGTTTTTGCATCCCTAGATCTTGAGATTAAACCCACCTGTAGTACAAGGTTTAACCAAGAGCCTCAGCTCCACCACTCCCCGGCCTGGCTCTCTGCCAGGTCCTCGCAGAGACAAGAAAGCTCCTTTCCTGAGGGCTGCAGTCCCTCTGCCCCTGTTGTGGTGTAACCCCCACCTCACAAAGGACGCCTCAAAAAGCCAAATCGTGGAGTCATTTACTAAAGGCCGGCGGCATACAAGGGAGCAAAAGCGCTCCAGACCTTGCGGCCCCGCACAGCTTGCCACATCTGGCTTACATTGGCAGAATATCACAAAGATATCGATTACATCTTTGGGTCTGGAATGAGGAACCTGTTTCGTGAGCAAGTTAGTTATCTACGAATCACTGAACCCACAGAAACACATTATCTGGGACCCTCTGGGCGATTTAGCATTGTGCTGTCCAGATTTTGGGTCAACAGGAATGCACTATTTGTAGCTATTGATGCAATTTAGGATAATTTGTGCTCTTCTGATTCCGGGACCCCTGAGTCAACCGAAACTCAGTTATCCGTAGCTGCTGAGATATTTGGGTAATTGAGCTGATCTAACTCTCAGAAGAATGTGCTTCGCTGACCAGTGAGATCACCATCAATGGGACATTCAAACCAGCATCCATGGAGTACTGGGCGAGCATGCATAAGTTCAGAAAATCAAAATAACTTTCTACTGTTTTAGCAAACAAATAAGTACAGAACCCATACAGCAGTTCCTACTACCATCTTTCACCACCACCTTCAACTCTACCTTCTTTCTCTGCTCTGTGGAGAGAATCCTGCGGGAGCGAAAAGAGGGACAGACAGATGTTGGGGGTCGTCCTGGAGAAAGACAAGAGCTTCCTCAGTAGAGGGCTTGGCAGGCAGGCACTTCTACCCCTGAACATTTTGGAATAATAACAGCAGGAACAAGCTCGGAGTAATCCGGCTCGGGGCGAGGACATATGTTCTGTTCCGGGCCCTGCAGAGCTCAGGAAAGCTCCCCCTGCTCTCCCCGCGACTCTCCGCGTCTCAACCGCGGGGCCCAGTGCTTCCTTGTATTTTCCAAGTGGATTCATTTACATTCTGACTTTGTAGTGGAAGGACCTCTAAGGAGCATGGTGGGGAGAAAAAGGAAAGAGCTACACCAGCAGCCTTGGGGACCAGGGGGCGGGGGG